CTTATGGCGGTCAGTGCGGACTGGGCGTCCGTTGTCGTTTTCGGCCTCCTCTTTACTGCTCTTGTCCTCCGCGGTCTCATCCGGCCGCACGATGGGAATGGCCTTGGACTTCTTGGAGGCCTTTGATGCCTCCGAGACATCAACATCGTCAAATATTTTGGTCCTGCCATTTGCAGTTTCCTCAGACTTCGCAGTGAAGCCACTTCCAGTAGGGTTGAAAGCAGGAGCCGCGACATTGAGAGAAGCGGTCGAAAACTTAAACTCGCTGGAGCCAGTGTCTTGTGTGGTCGTATCGTTGGCAGCAGCACTGGGCGTGAAGGGGGGTGCGGTAAGGTTGAAAGCGCTAGCGGAGGGATTGAAGCTGGGCACAGAGCCAAATGTGAACATGGGGTTTCCAACAGCCGAGGGTTGGAAGGCGTTTTCTTGGAAGGGAAATTGCTGTGATGGGATTGAGGCAGTTGGGTTGAACTCCTTCGCATCGACGTTGAAAGTAGAGGACGAAAGCTTGGAACGGTGTCCGCCTGTATATGAGCCAGCACTGGGCTTCGGCTCATGCCACGGTATGTTATTCGCAAGCGGACCATGTCGCTGAGGCGTTCCAGAAAGACTCGGGTTTGTATCGATATCCGAGCCATCATGGACGTTACCTGCTGCGTAATCGCCGCCGTAGAACTGGTGCATGTGCTGAGGATATTGTTGGGATGCAAGAGCGTCCGCCCCTGGGAAAGCCCAACGAGATTGCAGGAGCTCAGAACCATCGAAGTTGTGAAGAGCCGGCTCACGATCACCTTCATCAAGCTGCCGGTCAATAGTCTCCTCCAGATGATAGCTAGGCGGGATTCTGTCCAGGCCCTTCTGTAGCGTTTCGCTCAGATTATGACCACGGTCGTGGCCACGAGGGGTAGGCTGCGCGATCTCAACAGTAGAGGCGTGGAAGTGATCAGGTCCCTCCGTTGGGGTGCGAATGGGACGTAGCAGCTGGCCTTCAGTGACGTGATCCTGCAGCTCATGACCACCGTAAGCCTCCTTCGGTAGGCCTGGCTGTTCGTTCAAGCCAGGGTGGAAGGCACCCTGCTCGTTCAATGGTGATACGGGAGACAAAATCGAGCCCAAGTGAGGAAGCGTTCCAGGAATGGATGCGGCGGGACCTGCTTGCCGCGCATTAAAGAAACTCTGAGGAGTGAGCGAGCCCTGAGCAGGAGGAGTAGGTTGAAATTGCATAGGGTATCCAGGAAGTAGGTTGTTTTGGTCGACCCCGAGGAATGGCGTCTGAATGCTGAACTGCGAAGCCGGGGAAGCCAGAGTCCCCAGACCGGCGGGGTTTGCTGGCTGGCCCAGCTGCGGAGAGAAATGATGCGACAAAGATAGAGGATTGCTAGCTGCTGACCCTGTCGGAATCGGTGGCGACGATACAAGACCGGGGAAGGGGGCCATCTGGCTCATAGTAGCGGAGGCCGGGGATATTGAAGGTTTGGGTTCATCCAAAAACACACCCAGGGCACGCAATTTCTCTTCCTGAAGATACGCAACATATGCATCCCACTCTGCTTTGTCTGGAATGCTGACCCCATACCTCCCGTCCTGTCTTTCCTCCTGGACCTCTGCCGGGTCTGGGAAAAGCGGACGACTGAGGCCGCCCAACTCAGTATCAAACACATCCTCCGATCCGACGCTGAATCCTCGGGTGTCGTATCCCTGTTCTTCCCAGTCTCTCAACCGTTGTTGGACATCTTCCACTGTCAACAAACGGTATCCAGACTCCTCCGTGCCTCTTTTGTCGTCACATGGCAGCGAGATGAAGCATGCTTTCCCACGCCAAACGATCTTCTTCCTCACTCGTTGTGTCGGCGTTTGGCTGTTCCTGTCGAGCGCTGGGCTTTTCACGGCTTTCGGCTCGGTAGGAGTATCAAGTCGGTCCGTAAGGGAAGGGTCTGTCGGGGTGGGAGGAAGCGGCTTTTCTATCGTAGGAAGTGCCTTGTTGGGTCCCTGTTCCACAAGGGACTGTGCTTCTGTTGAATCCATTGTGATCGGCTGAGGGTCTTTATCGTAGGCGAAACCCCAAAAGTCCTCCTGTCGAAGTGTATCTGCTCGCTTGTGAAGATAATCTCTCGTCCGTTGGCGTGGGAGACTGCCTTCCCGGCGAGCTGCTCTTCGATTTACGAAGTCAGCGAGGGTGGGAGTCTTCAGGAGGTCCTCGTCGCGAGGATCTTGTTCCAGGCCAAGCCAATCGTCCGATGCGTCCTCTGCGAAATAGTTTTGTGCCGTAATAAACGAAGGTGCCTCACTACCCGAATCGTCGCTCAACCAATTGCTTCGTTCGGTTCTGGGCTGACCGGTGAGGTATTGATTAATCCAATCTTGCGTAAAGTCCTTTATCGACTTCCCACCTTTCCTACCAAAAATGTCTCGGGCTGGAGACCGGCTGGAATTACCGCTGTACAGTTGTCTCGCTGAGCTGTCCCGGGCAGACGGTCTTAAGAGCTCGGGATTGTTCGATTCGGAACCGTTACGGATGCCACTGCGCATCGATACCGGAGAGCTATTTCCGGAATCACGATCGACAGGTCCGGCTTGACTCAGTGACCACGACAGTCTTCGAGGACTTGGTGCAGCATACGGTGAGCCCCAGGCGGTGGTATAGTAGATACTACTTTCCGCTCTTCGGTTCTCCGGCGAGGTTGACGAATCCCAGGCGGCCCGGTATGTGGAGAAAGTAGGAATAGTATTCGGGGGATTCGGGGTGACGCTGCGGCCCCGGGGGGAGCTCGACCGGCCAGGTGATCCAGCGGCCGAGAGACTCGACGCTCCTGGCGTTGCGGAAATGGAAGTCAATGGCACCGTCAGCAGGGAATCGTCACGGAGGACGGACGGATCTGTAGGGTGCTGCGGCGGCGGCGAAAGCGCCGAGTTGGCGGAAGATGCGGAGGGACCTAGATCTAAACGTACAACAGCATCGAGATACGATTAGCCTTTGGACTACTAGATTGAAGGTGTGACGGGAACGAGGAAGATGACTGGCAGGAGACACCGCCATAGGGAGGTGGATGGGGAGGGAAGATGAATTGGAAAATGTGGGATTGATGCAGCCAAGGTAACACTTCGACAGGCAGACACACCTTCCGTTTCGACTCCTGCAGCAAGCACTTGCTTGCTGCTCCCCTTATCGTCCAGAATGTTGAAGCATGGAAATCAAAGCGCTGAGACCGAATCCACCTCGCCGATGAGCTGTGATCGACACACGAAAGGAGGGGGAGGGACGAGACAAATCACACGCTTGGACGAGAGCGCGATTGGGGGGAGAAAATGCGACCAGTGAGTGGTACCTATAACACCGTGGAATTTGGGGGGAGGGAGGGTGGAGGGGGAGGAATAATCTTCAGGGGCGGTGGGTAGTTCCGAAAGAAGATCCCCAAACAGACATCCGCGGCTTGCGGACGACGGATCAAGAACAGAAAGAGAGAGAGGGAGGGAGAGAGATTGAGATTGAGAGAGAAAGCGAATGGATGAACAACAGATCACAGATACCTAAGGTATGCGAGAAACTTGGGCATGGCGCATCCACAAAGGACAACTGGATTGAAGTTGGATGAAGACAAGGATCAAGCGTTGCGACTAGTGATAGTGGATGAAAGTAGTAGTGGTGGTGGTGGTAATCAGAGAGTAAGTAATTGAGAGGCGGACCTTAATTTTTTCCTGTACGAAAATTTTCTTTGCTTTTTAGCAACTTTTTTTTTTTTTTTTTCCCTTTCCTTCAAGTTGGATCGAATCAGTCTGGGGCCATGTCACGATCCGCCAGCAAGCAAGTCCGTTTTTTTGACTTTCAGAGCTGCACAGGCGCGTGAAAATAACAAAACTTAACGCTAAACTACCTAATCAGACAGTGGAGAGCTGCGAGGGCGACCGTTGGGGAAGAAGTAATGGTATGGTAACCAGATATTCCGCATTGGGAGCGGATTCTGGCCTCACGACCTTCAAGTTTTGGCCTTAGTTGGACGACTAGTGAACCCGGTTAAGCATGAATTGGGGATAGTGGTAGTCCTTAGCCTGGCATAGTGCCTCAAGCTGGCCAGCTCAACCCGATCTTCATCTCTGACCGCCATCTACGTACGTGGTGCCCGGCTGTCTGTAGGTACCAACCTTACCCAAAACTCATGCGAGTCAGTGGGTATCAACTCTATGCTCTGCAAGGCGCGGGGAGTCCTTGAGTTTGGGAGCAAAACAGTATCCGTCTGGAAAGACCCTCTCTGTCTGGCAGCCTGCAGGTTGATGGATCTTCCCTCGCTGCTCTCTCTCTCTCCCCAGCCTGCCTGTGGAATATGGCATCCACTCCCTCCAGCCTTTGACAATAAAGATATTAGATGGATACCCGACCGGATGTCACCCCCCAGATTTATGCATTCTCCATTCTTGTTCCCCCCCTGAACCAAGTGCTTCCCTTCCCCCAATAGATAACAATCACCTGGTTGACGCGTGGGTTCCTGTGGTTCGTGTCTGCATTCAGGGGTAAAACAACGCTACTTCAACCGAACCACGGTTCCCTCGGTTGCCCGTGACTTAGCTAACAACTTTCCCAATTGGGGATCCTTCCAATTGTGCCCAGCCATGTCATCGGTGTCAGACTGCCATGACACTTATAGCCCCATGCGGGACAGCCACCACTTCTAATTCTTCTATCTAAACGTCTCATCAAATGTCTGTTCATTTCGTCTTGACAGCCGTCGCATCTTCCTTCTCGGTGTCTGACTACTGCATGATGTCTAATTGCAAATCCAACTGCCACTCCGTATCGCTGTAGCGGGATTTCTACAAGCCGCATCAACTACTACTAGAGAAATCCTCCCAAGATTTGAGACTTGCCTCGATGTTCAACATGGATTCGATACATATACATACAGTACAGCAAAAGCTGTCCGAGAAATAGTAGATACATATTTAACAGATCAAGTCACTGTGCGTCAGACTTTTGAAGGTGCAGCATCAGACTGATTCTAGTTCGGCTTTCAACAGGTCACGTCGAACTTGAGCTGGCGGTCGGCGGTGAAGAGTCCCCAGTGTTTCTCGTCCATGGACTGGCCATTGTCACCCACGCTGTTGGGCTTCCACTCCTCGTCGAAGGCCTCGAAATAGAAGACGTCGGTTCCATTTCGCAGCATGGGGCATACCGCTGATTTGTAATACTGTGCAGCATTCTGAGTACCAGCTTTAGCAGCACCATAATCGGATCCACCGTCTAGGAAAAGCAATTCATCAGTTCATCTGCACCTCTGCTTAGGCGTTGAGGGATGTTGTTTATTTATCTTACCGGTGGGCCAACCAGTTTCTCCATTTCCAAAGCGGATATTGCCCGCATTAGCTCCGGCAACCTGCTTGATATGCTTCTCGGCCTCCGATATGTCATAGAAGTAGGTAGCGGGAGCATTGTTGATGTCTACATCCTGCCAGTAGGCGAATCCATTGGCCAAACTAAATCATCGTTAACTGAGACTCGGAATACGACATGATCGGGGAAGGAAGGCTTACAGGTAAGTGACACCTCCTTGGATGATGGGATCGGCAGTGCCATCCGCGAATTTGTTCCAGCTATCAACGGTGCCAACAGCGACCGAGGGGAACTGGTTCTGCACCTGTTGGATTTTGCTCAGGAGTGCCTGCGCAGTGAGACTTCCGCGGTAGAGAACCTCAGAGCCTACAGTAATGGCAGACACAACATCTTCATTCCCAGGGACGACCTGCTTCAGGGCGTTGAAGTCCTGGTCAAAAGACTGGTCGTAATCCGCCCTAGAACACACCAAAAGTTAGCTTCACGGAGTCAATGTAAACGAGTCAATCGATGACAATGCCTTACCAGACTCCCAAAACGACTTTGAATCCCTTGGCCTTTGCAGCGGGCACGATATTCTGAGCAAGATTGCAGTCACTGGCCGAGTATGTGCGGACTATAGTCGTCACACTTTTGAGAGCATCAAAGTCGGCTTCGTAATCACTCGTAGATTTGCAGCTGGAATCACTGTTCTTATCACCTATGGCGAGACCCAGGGTGCCACTAGCGGACACAGCAGGGATTGCTGCCAGAAGGGCAGGAAGCAAACTAGTAGAGACACGCATGCTGGAAGGCGCGGTTATTTCAGTGACAGGTTTCGAGCGATGTATACCGATTGAAGAAGTAGCAAGAGCAGCTGCTTAGGGAAGGACAGGGTATAAGAAGAGAGTGTGGGAAGTCAAGAACCTGAGTTTTGGCTTCTTTCGAAGGAGAGTGAAGAAAAGGGGAAGCTCTGTAAAAGGATGGCTCGTTCCTGGCTATATGCAAGCAACCGAAATAGAAAGAACAAGAGAGGAAGGATTGGCAGGATTTAAGTAAGAATAGAAGGAGTTGCACGGCAAAACGTCAGAACTCAGAAAGACTGTGGAGTCATACTTACTTGTACAGTACAGGGTACCTCCAAATGGGGAGCCCGGCGGTGGCCTACGAGACAATGAATGAATAGCTAGACTCGCCTCCCAGTGGGACAACTCCGAAAGTCAATTGAGGGAAGAAGGGAACTGGGCTTCACAGCCAGGGATTCAATCGCCGGAAGAGACCATTGTTGGAGTGACCAGACTCTTGAAGGGTCCATCTACAGTGGCTAAGCCAGGGACGTTAGCCAGAAGGCGCCCAGTGGAATAATCGAGATACACTGGATGTTAATGGGGTCCTTTATCCACCCCTGCCATTCCGGGGTCTCCGGCTAAGATCTCCACTGCAGGCGCCAGGGTCTGGACCCTTGGGCCTCTCGAGCCCATTACCGCCCCAAATCACTTCTGCTTATTCTTCTTTGCTCCCTTCACTGCAGAAATATTACCGATCACACAGTTATTCTGGGCATGTTAATACGCACTATCTCGCCGATTTAATTTCGGCCATACTACAGCCAGAATCGAAACACTAGTATCGTTAAGAAGAAGCAAAGAGAATAAAGCTCCCCACTCAAATTCTGCGAGATTGGCCTCCGTTCCGGTTTCATCCCCCAACTATAATATTGTGAGGCGAACTTCCCATGTCCGACGATCTCGTCTTCTCGAATCCCTCCCCACTTCCATCAATAAATTTAATGAGAGATCATCTCTTGGCCACCATCAATCAATCACTAGGTGTTCAGACCACAGATGATGTCACTAAGAGGGCCCTATAACGCGTACACCGGCCATGAACCCTGGAAATATGAGCCACGGTTCACTCAAGAACAGGTGGGTGAAAGACCATTATTGTTGCTGCTAAGAAAAATCCCGCAATATTCGTTCTCCCACTTCCTGATCCATCATTGTTACCAAAGAGAAGCTTCCTTACTCATCGCAGTGGCGCGTCTATTACCAAGGTTGAATCCCGCGAATTGTCTTGATCTAGACCGCTTACTTGATTGTCCTCCCTTCATCCGGGTTGAGGCAGTATCTTGCTATTACTCTAGAGGAACCTGCGGGTACCACAAGCTGGGAAATGTGAGCTCATCATACTTAAGTCGTCGGTTTCGGGTACTATATACGAGCAAGCAAGCATCGAGAGGTCTGCGCAGTCAATGTTGGCTCACTGTGCTTCGTCAAATATTTAAAGACCGAAAGGGTGTCCATTTGCGATCTTTAGGAGGCAGTCAATCAAGAAAAGCAAGAGATAACCCAAGGAGGGAGAACGTGAGTATGCCTCGTACACCTGGCCATGAATTGTTCATGATTCCTCAGGCTCTTTTAAGATGCCTCTATTCCTCAGCGTTCACGGACGCACTGAAGCAATGTATGTATGTCTGTAGAGGCCAATTAGCGCTCAGGATGTCCGTGATATACCCTAAGGCCGCCACCAAGCTCCTAAATCCAAATGTTATCAGATCAAGACAAAAAGGAATGATTGAACTCTAGATATCGTTGATAAGAGAGAGTCGAAGTAGTAAAAAGAAGCATCGCGCCCTTCTAGACTCCGAACCCTGCCAGGACTAGTCCAGTTAGTGCCGGGTGATCTGGTGGTGGTCCGAGCGTCCAGAATTCCCAGCGCAGCACAGAGACCACCTTGCCCGTCGGGAGTCGAAGCACACCTAGCAAGCCCGACCACCACCACCTCACCTGGATCTTTCTCGAGGAGAACTCCACCAACCTATTACCGGATTTGGAGTCATCAAAAGTGAATTACCCTACCCATCATGCGATTCTCCGCGACGACTCTCCTGATCACGGCGCTGGCGTGGTTCACCACCGTGACCGCACACAACATCCAGCTCCGGGCTCACTCCCGCGAATGCTTCCACGAGTCCTTGCACAAGGATGACAAGATGACTGTCTCCTTCCAGGTCGGAGACCGGGAATTTGGTGGCAGTGGCAACCTGGAGATCGATTTCTGGGTAGGTTCCCTGAGCAGCATGCTAGTTGTCAATCTCCGCGCGGATACCGTTCGGGATGTTTTGATATACAATCGAGCTTGCAAGGACACAAAACTACTTTGAGGAATATAGTCACTAACATGTGATTGATTTCAATAGGTCGAGGACCCCCTGGGTAACCGTCAATACTACAAGCACGCCATCTCGTCGGAGGACTACTCGTTCAACGCGCACTCGGACGGCAAATACGTCTACTGCTTCAGCAACGAAGGATGGGCCTCGAACTCCAAGGAAGTCTCTTTCAACGTTCACGGAATTGTCTACGTTCCCGAATCGGAATTGGCGCAGGATCCCTTGGAGGCGGAAGGTAGGATTGCAACACCCCGATATCGTCTATACTAGTCTTCGGCGACCGTATGAGCTAACCGCTATTGATTCCTCATCACAGTCCGCAAGCTGTCCGAGGCCCTGGCACAAGTTAAGGATGAGCAGTCGTACATTGTCGTGAGAGAGCGGGTTCACCGGAACACGGCCGAGAGCACCAACGCCCGTGTGAAGTGGTGGAGTATCTTCCAGCTGGCTGTGCTGATCGGAGAGGGTATTTTCCAGGTGTGGTGGCTCAAGAGATTCTTCGAGGTTAGTCAATTCCTTCTTCTGCCTTTAACCGAATTCAAACTAACAATAGAATGATGAACAGGTCAAGCGTGTTGTCTAGAGTGATTATCTTTACGAGCGTGATAATTGTAAAGGGCATTATATTATACCCTTGACATTCTTCTTATAACTGAAATTATGGAACCTTTCCCCCTTTTTCTTCCAATCCCAATTGAACAAATAAAATCATCTGGATGATTCTTATTACTTTGGGATATACTATCAAATGTACGAAGCATGTATACAACCAAAAGTGAACCAGCGCAGCATTAGATTCCTTTAGCGCCATTTCCACAACATAAACCCGATAGCCTTATCACAAGCGAAACAAAGTCTGCATTATCAGTAGTAGCAGCAACAGACAGGGATCCTCCGAACGGGCCTCCCTACTAGATAGTACGTAGTAGTAGTACTACTTACCAATGTACCACCAACCACCCCAGGAACAGAAAAAACCCCGCACGAGCCCATCACCCAAACAAAACAATCCTGACGGACAGGGTCCATCATGCCATCACATCACATTCCATCATGCGATAAGAAATACTAGCAATCTCTTTCATGTTCGACCCAATCCATCCATCCATCCATCCTACACTCCATCATCCCCAAAAACCAAATGGACCATATAACAAACACCTCCAGCTTCACCTCCACCTCCACCGACCCCCTCTTCTACCTCTGCTGGCGACGACAATCATGCAATACCTGCCTGAAAGGCGATGTACCCTGTAGCTGGTGCGCGGTGGTAAGTCCATCATTATTCATTCTCTTGCACCAAACTGAACCACTTACAAAAAAGAAAATGCAGTCCTCAACCTGCGTCCCTAACCCATCCCTCCTACCTATTCTCTCCCCGCTGCACTCATCGCAGATCTGCCCGCTCGGGTCCAAAGAGCGGTGGGAGCTCCGCGCAATACCCTTCGGGTGCCATGTGAGCACGACTACGTTTCTTACGGGCGTGGTGGGGGTGCTGGGTACGTTGGCTGTGCTAGGGTTGATTGCTTTGGGGGTTTGGGTTGGTAGGGGGGTACGGAGGAGGGGTGGGTGGAAGGGGTTACCTGTTGTATTTGGGAATGGGAATTGGGTGGGTGTGGTGTTTTCGCGGTGGGGTGGTAGGAGGGGGAGGGATGGGGAGGATGAGGAGGGGGCGGGAGGGGGGAGGAGGGCTGGTGATGGTGGGGAGGATGAGAGGAGGCCGTTGTTGGGGGGTGGGTGAAATGTGAATGTGAATATGAATGTGAATGTGATAGTCTGGGTTGTGGTTACACAAGGGATGAGTGAGATGGGTGGAGAGCTTTTATGTCAATGTTATGAGGCTTGCATTTCTTTAGCAGGTCTTGTCTTCTGATTATTGTTCACTGCTATGCAGTATTTGCTGATTCAGCCCTGGACAACCTGGCTGACGCGGTACTCGACCACAGTAGGCTTGCCCTTTTCGATGTTGAAGCGTCCCTGGGCGATGAAGACGCGGTTCTCGAGCTCCTTGTAGCGTTCACTGCCGGTCTGTGGTTTTGTGGTGGTCTGTTAGATTTTGGTGCATTCGTTATCCGGGCTGGAATGTGGTATATCTCACCTCGAAGGTAATGTGCGTGACTATATTCCTAGCATTAGCACCTGTTTTCATTACTCTTAGAGGATAACTTACAAGCACTGTTGAACGGAGTCGAGCCATCAGGAGCAGCTCCGGCGAAGACGGCCTGCACTTCGGGAAGCAGGGTACAGACACCGGTGTAGTTCAGGTAGATGAGCTATAGTAGATGACTGGTATTAGTTATTGCTCTCGAAACATTCTGAAGAGCCATCCACATACATCATCGCCATCCTTGGGCCTAGATACTAGTCATTAGAAAGGTAATCATCTTCAATAAAGGTAAAACATACTTGATAACACCGTGCGCATCCAGACGCAAGTGCTTGCCGTCGGCATCTGCATGGATGTAGTCGTTGCCAACACCGACGAACTCGGCGTCAAGAGCAGGAGAGAATCCAGGCACACTCTGGACAGTGCCGCCGGTCATGGGCTTCAGTCATGCTGGATTGTTAGTGGGATGGTCTTGTGAGAAGGAAGGGAAGATTGGGTGGCTGCTTACGACGACCTGCAGGCTGTTCTGCCGAGATGCGCTGCCTTGAAGGAATTAGCCAGTTTCCTGGAGCTATGGCCCTTGTTACTTAGTAGATGTCTTGAGGACTTACCGACGCCTAGCGGAGCATCGATTGTGACCTATGTTGGGGGACAATGTCAGTTGTGTGTAAGCACGCGAGGTCCTGTATTGGAGATTCTACCTTGAAGGTGAAGGCGGGCTGGAGGGTAGGGAATTCGGACATGTTTAGTTCGAGTTGACTGATGCGACGATGTTCTATAGCTGTGTCAAACTGTATTATGCTCTGGTGCTTGCTGGAAGAAGTCGAGCAGCTGATAAATCGCGGACGTTAAGCCCCGCTCCTCGGTGAGGGGTCAGGGACACATGTTCCACAAGCAACGGCCAGCCTATGGCGATCCCCTGAACGGTGATACCCGGAGTGATTCTGATCGCCGCGGGTTAAGGTACTTCGGGCAGTTTATTTACTATGTAGAACTATAGAGGACGGAAGAGTGAGTAGTAGGTACCACTGTGACAATTATCCAGCAAACATAGAAAAACTACTTAGCTCAAAGTCACATGCTTCGACTGGGTTGCCAGATCTGGCTAATACCTCCCGATCATTATTATCATTCTTGAACTACAAATCTTTCTCTTCTACCTTCGTACTACTATTACTCGTTCAAGTCTGCTCTTGTGGGCAGATGGCACACCATCAGGTGCTCTAGCCAACTGCATTGTCTCCTTACAGACCCCTGTTTATCTACCAGATGACTCTATTAGTATGCAAAAGCTGACTTTCTAGTTACCAAACCGTATCACTTTCAATCACCTAATCATAGACCAGAGACCACCCGAAGATGGGGCACAGAGTACAGAGGCAGCATAGTGTCCTCCACTATCCAGTAGATCAGGACCACACAGCCTATCACGACTATAGTTGAATCTGGCCCGGATGACAGTGCGGCCAGCGCGTCAACCTTGGGGGTGAAAAGAGAGAAAAGAGAACCCCAAAATGCAGTCGATGACTAAGAGCCTCCGACAATCTGATTGTCGGTTTCAGGCACGTGGGCCGTTTAGACGACGGTACAGGCTGCGAGTACCTTACATTAGGGGGAGGACCTTGACTGACACTGCGGCGCATCTTTACTACTCCATACAGCGCTGAATTGTTTTTCTTGTATGCTCAACAGCTGACCTGTTGAATTGAGTCCGACTGATACTCCGGAGTCAGATGTCCAAAGCAATGTGTCTCTCGCAGGGCTAATATTTAAATGCCAGCCAATTCACCCGTGTTCCTCTGTTCTGCTGGTCGGGTTCCAAACAAAACAAAGTGGGTCCACACGCTACCTCGCGCTTTTCCGCATCGGGGCGGTAGCTGTGACGTCGTCGACGATCCAGTTCAACAAATCCTCCATCTCATGTAAATTACCCCCGGTATCGCTATTTGTTGGTCTTGTTTTTAGCTTCGTTTTGGCTTTTTCACATAGTGTGTCGCGTGCTCACTGTGTGCTTCATGTCTGACTCTATTGATCAAGGTTAACTGGTCTCCCGCATCGTCGGGGTTTCGCCTCCTACTCACAGTCTTCCCAATGGTTCCGATCATTCTCCTTTCAGCGCTCTCGCTGCTAGGAATCTATGTGTCTGCCTTCCCGGTTGTGGAGCAGCAACCTCTAGGTGATGTTCTCCAAGATGTGCTCCAGCTCGAGCCACCAAATGCCGATGCGGAGTCCTTCCGAACACTTTCAGGCCGCTTTCTGCACATAACAGGTACCTCTTCCTTTCTTGAACTACACCATGTCAGAGGCAAGAGAAGAGGAGGGGCAGGCTAACCACTTCCAGATCTTCATCCAGACCCCCTCTACGAGCCCGGAACATCCGACGAAAAGAGCTGCCACAGAGGTGAGGGCTCCGCCGGGTACTATGGCGCCGAAGAGACTGAATGCGACTCGCCAATTACCCTCGTTAACGAGACATTTCGCTGGATCGAGAACAACCTTAAAGACAAGATTGACTTTGTCATCTGGACCGGTGACTCTGCACGGCACGACAATGATGAGAGAAATCCCCGCACGGCAGATGAGATCGTCCGCTTGAATCAGTTCATGGTGGATAAATTCACCGAGGTCTTTGGCGGAAAGGACACCATCCCCATTGTTCCGACTTTTGGGAATAACGATGTAATGCCGCATAACATCATGAAGACCGGTCCGAACCGGTGGACGAAGAAGTACCGCGAAGTCTGGCACAAGTTTATCCCCGAGCATCAACGTCATAGTTTTGTCGAAGGCGGCTGGTTCGTCTCCGAGGTAATCCCCGATGAGCTCGCAGTTATCAGCTTGAACACTCTATACTTCTTCGACTCCAATTCTGCCGTCGATGGGTGCGATGCGAAATCGGAGCCCGGCTATGAGCACATGGAGTGGCTTCGGATCCAACTGGAGATGCTGCGGACACGTGACATGAAAGCCATTTTGATAGGTCATGTTCCTCCGGCAAGATCTGGCAGCAAGCGCAGCTGGGATGAAACATGCTGGCAAAAGTATACACTATACGTGAACAGATTCCGTGATGTCGTTGTCGGCAGTGCATACGGGCACATGAATATCGATCATTTCATGCTGCAGGATAGTCGCAAAGTGGACATTGCTGCCAGCAGTGAGTCTGTTGTCTCGTCCGATCTTTATGACGACTCAGGAGAGATCTCTGTCCAGTCGCGTTATGACTATCTATCCAGTCTTAGGAAAGACTGGTCCAGTCTACCGTCTCCACCTGATGGTATGCCGAAAGGCAGCTTCCTGGTAGACGAATGGTTCGAGGAGGAACATGAAGCTGCGGCGAGCTCAAAGAGTTCAAACCCCAAGAAGAAACAGAAGAAGTTTCTCAAAAAGATTGGCGGTCCCTGGGCCGAGAGGTACAGTGTGTCGTTGGTGTCACCGAGTGTGGTGCCAAACTTCTTCCCTACGCTGCGGGTGGTTGAGTATAACATCAGTGGCCTAGAGGATACCAATGTCTGGGCCGATGCCCCTACCTACAACAACTTGGGAATGGCGACTCTGGACCACAACGAGGATGAACTTTCGGCCAACGAGAAAAAGAAAAAGTCCAAGGACAAGGCTCCCGAGCCTCCATCGCCGACTGCACCTCCGGGGCCGGCATACTCCAACCAGGCATTGACCTGGCTTGGGTACACTCAATACTATGCTAATCTGACCGAGATCAACCGTCGGATGGCGCAACGTCACCCAGCGTCGGCAGACGAAATTTCTGACTCTGGTCAAAATAATGGCGCTAGAGAGCTGAAGTTCGCAGATATTTTTACGTTCGACGTTGAATACGATACCCGAAACGACAAGATCTACAAGATGGAGGATCTCACCGTGCGGAGCTTCTTCAAGCTGGCGAAGCGAATTGCCAAGAACAAGGCGGGTAAAAACGATATCTGGGTTGAGGATGCGACCGCCGAAGAAGTCGACACGAATGCTTCTGGTACCGGAGACAATATCGGAGACGAAGTAGAAGTCGAAAAGAAGAAGAAAAAGAAGCATAAGAAGCATAAGAAGCCTAAGAATCGAACATGGAGAGCCTTCTTGGAGAGAGCTTTTGTCGGAACTTTGGACCGTGACGAACTTGATGATATAGAATAATGGTACCTGCTTGCCTGTTTACCAGGGAGAGGACAGGAGGTATACGACGTTATGGCTGCGACGTTTCACTCGCTCTTAGCTTATCTGTGTTGCTGCAATGTATATAGTGCTTCAATCATAAAGATCACTTTTGGAAATAGATCGCTGCTCGTATTGCTTCCACTCATTTGTCCTTCGGAAGAGGCGGTGGGGAACTGCCGCGGCAAACTGTTGCAGATGCAGGCTGTCGGTCATCATTCATTCATCCACCCCCATCTAACTGATCAATCAGTCCTGTGCTTGTGGTATGACAGAGCCACTGATATCATCTCCTTTCATCTCCGGTTGTAATTGAAATCGATCGAGGGGCCAACCTTCCACACAGCCCCATGGAAGACGCACAGATGCTTCTGATGCCACGCTGGCAGATGGCCGCCAACTGTCATCATCCAGTGCTGCCGCCATCCTCATGCAAAGCCTAACGCTAAGAAGCGCGCGGGCGCCGAATCTCCACGCTTGCAGTTTAGTTGAGCGACCCGGCTCAGTGGCGGCTCGCTCATGCATAGAAAGATGGGTTTGGACCCGCGCTGGGCCTTCCATCTGCAACACTGCTCGCAGGCCATGTGTGACTTTTGGCTGCCAAAAATGAAGAGGCTGGCGACAGCTGATCCACTGTGCTATTCCTATCTTATCCTCCCGGCTGGATCAAAAGCTGCACGGCAGGGGAAATCAGCAGTTGGGCTCTGACACGTATCGAACTAGCTGATGCGCTGTCCTTCCGCCTAATGCCTACTAAGTCTTAGGGACGGGACCATCATCCAACATGCCACATTGCCCTTCGTAATTCCTTTTTCATTTCGGTGATGGTGGCCACCCAGAAATGACGTCCCTCACCGTGGCTGCAATTGGTGCCCGATGTCTCATCTCCGCTTGGAACGGCGGCCAGGGCAGAATGAAAATTGACGAGCACAGCAGGAACTAATAAAACAAACAGACGGCGTTCTAATTGATCGTATTTCACGGAGTACTCTCTCTTTCCACAGAAGCGGGGGTCCATTCGCCCTATATGTATAGTGGAGCTTTGCCGCATTGATTCGCACGGCATTGTACCTCCGCACTGCCGTGGCTTCATCCACTTGGCTGTGGCCAGGGAAATATCAACGGGGCAGATAACCTGCCCTTGCATCATTATTGCTCCGCACATCCATTCATTATCGCTCTAATCCCACATTCTCGCGCAGCTGCGACCGAGTGCCCAACTTCAATTGGGACGAGAATTGACTTTCAGAACATTGACTTTTTGTGGTTATATCTTCTGTTGCCTCACCCAAGCAGGCTTCGTTTCATGGGATAGCGACTTCAGGCCTTGAGATAGCTGCCATCACTTCCGGCCCCAAACTCGTGGGCGGTGCCCGCCCATCGCTGGCAAGAAGCACAGACTAACGCCTTACCTCGCCTAGTTGCACACGATGCATCAAGACTCCCTCCTATTTCACAACGACCAGTTCCTTGCCCTTTGTTGTTTCGAATGCCCCCTTCCCCGTGCCTTGCGTTCCTAAATCCCACCTATACCCTTTCGCGCTCCCACGCCCGCTTGACTATCACATTCTTCTGCTAGCATAGCCTTGCATACAGGGCTGTTGACAGCAGGCTGAGGAGAATTCTCATCTAGAAGAATTGATCTGGGTGGTTTCCTTTTCGGGTTAACGATTTGCTATTTAAGTCTGATTGCACTACGGAGTACACCCGCGATCTGATCCTCGCTGATTCTCCAATTAAAGACCACTAATTGCTGACATATGTAACATACTTGCTTTTGCTTTCCAGTTGAAATTGGCGGCTTTGTGCTTTCGTCACTAGGGGTCTCTGCATGTACAACTGATCGGCTATTCAGTCCTATTCGGAGGCGGCACCGAGAGGCGCGGACAAGCCACAGATACGACGAGTCTGATTTTGAGACGGGCGCATTCAACGAAGGACTGCGCTTGCAATTGAGGATTTCAATTGCGGAACCGGCAACTTAATACCCAAACATATCGAGCTTTAGGCGCCAGCACGAGCATGGGAAGCTTTGGTGCATGCGACGGCTGATCCAATTCTAAGAACCGTTTGCGCGCGCGTCCGAGGTAAGGCTCCCGATCCCTTGGCGCTTTACATGTTTCACTCCGATGCATCTATCTTTTATATGAGCGCGGTGGGCAATCTGTGGCCACTGACTGAGAATTCTTAAACGGCCCGATGCTGTGGGATCGGTCCTCCCCTCCAAAGTTGTTGTTCGGTTACACTTGTTCGAAATTTGTTCTGTTATATACCAGATCATCATGGATATGACTAACTTGGCAATCGATTGCCCTGTGATAGAAACCGGCTCCCTTGCTTTGTGGATGGCTTCCTCCGAAGTGGACCAGAAGGCCTTGGGCAATTTTGCGGCCATGACGGGCCTTGAGAACCCGTTCCTGTCCGCGATGCTGTACAAAATTCTGGGGCTGTCTGTTATGTTATCGAAGAAACTCCTCCGTGCACGACGGTTGCGACGCCTTGACCCCACCCGAGAGACTAAATCGCTTCATCTTTATTATCATATCATCTGGCTTTCCCGCGAGGGTCTTTTGATATTAGAGGAGTTTGTCCTGCCCCTGGTTGAGGGATGCATGGAACTCAAGATTCTAGCCTACAAGTTGCGCGCCTCCTTCTATCATATATTCGTCCTGTTTCAGAATCAGCCTGCTGTCCACACGCCGGGTATCGTCAGCCTGCCGAGTAGTACACCTCTATCCAATGGCGTTACTGAAGCCGAGTCACCATCCAAGGATTCCAATTCGCGATTTTCATTCCAGCTGAAGCCCGACACGATAACGGTTTCCGGGAAGCCCAGTTCAGCCTCGGATGGTGCGCCACGAGGCAAGGTTACGCAGGCACCCCCGGGCTTCGCGCCGGTTCAACCGCCCAAGTCGACCTCCTCGTTTCTCCTCCCTGCACTCGACTACACCCCCACAGCTACCGCATGCTTCAATCATGCTGCACTCCTGGCGGATCAATTCCTCCCGGGCTCGCACCCGCTCCGTCTGTCCATCAAGCTGGAATTTGCTGCCTACCTCTACGACTGCTTACATGACACTCACGCCTGTCGACGGCTGGCCAAGCAAGCCATTGCCGACGTGTACAATGCGCAGGAGGGCATGGACGACGAGAGCTTCGAGGATGCGGCTGAGATTGTGGGGATTTTGGGCAAGATGGTGAAGCGGGGAAGGAACGCAAGCAGTGCTGGAAATAGCACCACGGCTTTGAAAACACCTCGGGAGGAGCGTAGTGAGGGCACTCGAACGCCGTCCTCTCAGACAACTTCGAAGAAGCCGGCAGCGCGAGTGCCGAAAAGCTCTCCGGCGCGCGCGACCAAACCGACGACTAGCGAGGGCATGTCACCCGCTGTGCCCGACCCCACCATGATGAATCCCATATGATGCCTCTTTGCTTACAACCTGTATATGCTTCTTCTTGGACCTACGGAGGAGTCGCGCATGGAGCGCTTGGCCTGTAATTTTTACTTGACTTGTGCGTGTCTGTATCATCACTGTACGGAGTTGCGGCGATAGACTGGAATTGGGCATCAGCTCGCGAGGAGCTGTGGTCAGTATGAGCGATTAAGCGTGATGAAAAGCTCAGGTGGGAATAGCAGACCGGCCAGTTGTGATGGGTGTAGATAGATAGATCTGTGCGATACAAAGGATGTTGTTGATGTCATGCACCCCACTTGTGTGTGCTTGTCTGGACAATAATGGACCTACACTTGATACTAGTTACTAGTAGCAACAATTGTCAGTCTCAAGCCAATGGTTATGGGGCAGGATGGATCGATGGATCTCTTGTTGATGTTGCAGTGGAGGCCAACGCATAGTCGCCTGAGGCAACCCCCCACCCAGGGTCCGGTGTAAAATACCATACCGGGCAGGACAGGATAGATTACCGGCGAGGCAGCAGTTTTCCCATTGACTCCTGAATGTATATTTCATGTTGTGTGAATGAAAAATAGAATTGACTGATGCCTGCAGGGGGGCAACTTTGAGTGTGAAGAGGCGAAAAGTCAACACGCAAACGGGCAATTTGTTTCTATAGATACTTTTTTTTTCCCTCATCGACATCGAGACGAGGGTGGATTACGACGACGACCTTTCTTGGCGCACCACCTGCGAGGCCATCCATCGCCAGCAAGAAACAAACCTTTTTAGCCATTGCGACCCTTTGGGTTCTGTCTTTTACGTCATTCGACGGGGATCGCCTCCTGCAGCATCCGGCAGTATTATCTTTACAATTCCATCTCCAGCTGATCTTGCGCGCAAATCAGATTTCCCCTCTTCGTCCTCCACGTCGATTTCCTCCTCCCCCCACCACCAACATTAAAGTTGTGTTGTTCTGCTCTTCGTTGCCGGGGGCTCGAGTGCCAAAAAGGACGCGCCTGCTTTCCCTTCCCGACCGTCCGACCGCCTGATCGACATCATCGCCCAGAAGCGAAGGACCGCAGATCCAGCGCAAGACCCTGAAAAAAGAAACGCACCCGAACGAGGTTCTGCCCCCAAGGCTGCGCGCGCAATCACGTCTGTCAGAAGACCCTGAACGAGGCTGCGACACATCTATATTTCTTTACTTACTTGCATAAACCCTCCGAACCTTGAATCTCTGTGCCAATTTCCACATTTTATTTTTCTCCTTTAATTTTGATTTCCTCGCTGGCAATGAAGCTGTTCGTTCTGGAAGCCTCTCAAGAACGCGGGATCCTCATCGGCTGTTAGAATTACCTCTTTTTTTTCTCTCCGAGGATTGTGGATTGGAAACCAAAGTCAGGCCTTCGTCGGTCGCTGACTGTGGATGATGCGGTCGGGGCTTCAGAAACCTGGGGCCATTCCGTTTCTTGCTCTCTTGGTCTTTTCGCTATTTAGTTTGGTGCCGTCGCTCGCAAAGGAATGGGATTTCTATAACGTGCACCTGGGGTATATTGGCTATCGCAATGACGTTCGACGTATGCATTCCTTATTTCTTCTTCTATCATTCCCCCCTCCCCCTTTTTCTGTCCCCCATGTGTTTGGCTGAGTCAGATAAGCTAACGGTTGTGCTGCTGCAGATGTCTCTCGGGTAAAAGATAACTGGGCCGATGTTCGAACAAGATCTCGAGTTTCTGGGACTGGCTGGAAGCCATGGCTCCTAGATGGATATCAGGGGTTCTATGAGCGCAAAGCTCGTCCGCGACGTTGTGCGGTGGACGCGCCATCTCGGAGCTCTTTTGAGGCGGCTGCCGTCTTCGATACCGATCCTTTGGCATTTCCGGCCCGAGAATCCTCGGCTTTCACTCGGGGAGTCCGCGCTTTCAAGGCATTGGTTATCAGGCAGCCGGATGAGTCGCAGTTACTTCCGACCTTTGCAGCGGAGGGTGATGCCATCGAGCAATTACCTACGCGACTCAGTGCCCTCGCCAATTCCTCAGTTATACCAGCTGCTCCTCTCGACGACGGACCTTTCGGGGTGTCGCCTACCAGCAATTCCATGATACCAGCTACCAGCAGCGTGGTTGATGTATCTCGATGGTTGCTAGGGTTGTCCCGTGCCTCATGGCAGCAGGTCTGCCGCGCGGGGAGCGAGTATCTGGAGAACATGACTGCTTGGCAAGCCCGCCAGCCCAACTTCGACCTCTCACAACACAACAACCACACCACCTCCTCTCACCCAACAGTCCCGCATAACCACACACCCCGCGAACAACCTATACCCCCGAAAGCAGTAGTCGTGAATTATAGCGACGACACCGCCGACGACGCCAGTCAATCAGCATCCACGCCAAGCGCCACGCCGCCCCCGCCGGCTCTCTCCCCCAACAGCACCGCACCGACTGCCGGACAGTCCAAAGTCGCGGGATTCCAGCAGGAGACCGAGCACATGCGCCGGGGTAGCTGCATGGCCATAGTGATTGGCCTAGTAGTGGGCGTGATGTGGTTTTAAACACACCTACCCATCCATCCTCACTCCAGTCATAGAATTGACTGGCTGGTTGGTTGGTTGGCCGGCTGGCTTATTATGATTCTTTGCAGATTTTTTGCTCACACTGTATTTGGTTTCGTTGTACATCACTTGCTGGGGGAAGTCTGATGAGACACCCATTTTGTTTTCTTTTCATGCCTTTACGACTGTTGGACGGATCGGATATAGGAATGGGATGGGCTGGACATAGGAGCAGCCTGAACTGGCCCTGTCGAGTGCAGTATGCCAATCAATATATAATAATCTTCACCGTGCGATAGTGCAGTGGTTTTCAGATGCGGACGTACTAGGAGTAGGTGCGGTTCTGTAGATGAATGTCACATGCTAGTTAAGTACTTGCAACTCACGTCCACACACCTCAGATACTAGTATATTCTTTTCCATGTACTACGATCATCCACCACCATCAACATCCAACTTATATAGTACTAGTAGTACTGATATACTACTACCTATACAACCTCACCTAACCCCACCATACCCCACTGATCTCACCCCCTCTCCTCCCACTGCACCTCCCCTCAACCCAACACAATCCCCCCACAACAACAACAACAACAACAACAACCTAAACCCCAAACCAACAACTTATACTCAACTCCTACGAAGTACTAGCACTAACGCTCTTCATCCTCATCCCCTGCACCACCGCCAACACCCCAATAACCGCCACGCACTCCAACACCACCGCCAACTGCCACGACCTCGTCAACGCCTCATTCAGCACCACCAACACCGCCCGCTTCACCTTCCCAGACAACCCCTCCGTAAGAGTCGAAATCCCCCCAGACAACAACCCACTCACATCAAGTCCATCACCCACTGCAGTGCCCTTTAACCCGGCACTGAGCTCGTTCGTGAAGAGCGCTTGGGCGACGGCGACGAATATAGACCTACACCAAACATATGTAACTTTTATCAGTACCAGTCACAAGAAGAAAAAATATCACCTAGAACAAAGGGATGAAAGGAAGGAGGGATATGGTTACATACGCCCCCATCGTCTGCGAAAACATGACCAACCCCGACCCAATCGGAATATCCTTCAAGGGAAGTGCCTGCTGGGCCACCATCAACGGGGTGACACTACACAGACTGGACGATATGGCAAAGATGATTTGATAGCCGATCCATTCCCCTGTGGGCGTGTCGACAGTGAATGTGGTGAAGAGGCCTGAGCCCACGGCGCCGAAGATTATGGCGACCCCCATGAACATGTCTGGGTGGCCGACTTTGGACATTAGGATCCCACCCGCTAGGGAGACGATCGTGCTGGTTATTACCCATGGGAGGGTCCAGATTCCGGATTGGATGGGGGTTGCGGATTTGACGCCTTGGAACCAGCTGTTTGGGTTTATTGGTTAGTTGGGGGGGTGGTTGTGAGAGGGGAAGGGGAGGTACATCGGGAGGTAGTAAGTCAGGACGAAGATGGCGCTGACGGTGCAGAAGCCGAAGAAGGATGCTGCTGAGACGGTGCGTTGGGTGAATACCCTTGACGGGAGCATGGCGTTGGGACCTTGCCATATCTCCACGCTGATGAATGCGATGCCGAGGATGCCTGCGAGAACTAGCAGGACGATGACTCTGGCGTCTTGCCAGGCGTATTTGAGGCCGCCCCATTGTAGGGCGAGGAGGAGGCAGACGATAGATGGGAGGAGAGCTACGAGACCGAAGAGGTCGAGGGTCTTGAGGAACTCGGTCCAGGAGGTGAAGGCTTCGTGGTCTCGTTTTGGTGGATGGACGAGGAAGAAGAAGGCGATTTGGATGACGGCGCCTATGGGGAGGTTGATGTAGAAGTTCCACCGCCAGGACACCTTCTCGGTGAGAACACCTCCGATCAAGGGGCCGAATGTCGTGGCGAGTCCGCGGGAGCCTGAGAGGAGACCAAGGAGGATGGGGCGTTTGGCTGGGGCGACGAGGATGGGAACGAGAGAGAAGGCTGCGACCAGGAGTCCTGAGCAGCCTACGCCGGCGATGGCGCGGCCGATAATGAGGGAGTGCGAGTTGGGCGCTGCGCCGCAGACGGCGGAGCCTACGAGAAAGAACAGCATTGATATGCTGTAGATCCAGCGGACGGAGTAGCGGGCAAGGAGTTTGCCGAAGAGGAGCTGGGTCGTGCAGATGACCATGGTGTAGACGCTGCTGTACCAGCCGACATCGCCCAGCGAGTGGAAGTTGTCAGAGATGTAGGGCGTCGCTGTGGCGATGATGGTGCTGTCCTAGATGTAGGGTTTGCACGTTAGCATACGTGGTACCCAGCTGAGGATAGCATACCAAGGTGACGAGGAAGATTGCCAGACACAAGGTTGCAACCGCGAGATAGGATTTGATCCCTGAGGGGTATTGAGAAGCTGCAATGGTTGCATTCTGACTGTTGTCTTTGGTCTCGTTCTTGTCAGTGACCTGTCCTTGAGGTTGCTGGGCCTCAATGCTGGGCAGGGAAATGCTGTCGGATCTCTCCATGTTAGAGAGCCTTGGATATCAACAGAAAACGAGCGAAAAGGTAACGAGCGACTGATTGACTGACAGACTGGATGAACGATTCTTCTTAAGCTGACACGGTGAGTTTAGGGGAACAGCCCGTCATAACAAAAGCCCGAATCACGGCCACAAGACGCGTTTAGTCTCCATCCTGCCTGACAAGGCTTGCAGGGTTCAGCAAACTAGTGAGAACTAAAGAGACAAGGTTGTGATAGGTAGGAAGGAGAACAAAGAACCCTGGCAAAAGCAACTAATCACTGCATTAGACCCTTCTCCAAGGCAGCATTCGACCTTGAGTTCTGCCTATCCAGAACATGAGGTGCTGACAGAAGTGATTGGGTTGACAGGGAAAATGAAGCCGGGTATACCATCCTTGTCATTCTCCACCCTGAGTCTCACTTAACGATGGAGCGATAGAGAGCACGGAAATACCTCCACTTATACTAGTTTACTAGTATAGTGCACCAAGTACCGACACCACGCTGAAAACCCACTACATGAGGCATCTGGATGTCGTCCAGCCACCGTCGACTTCCGTTGCCATTGCTGGTATGGCGTGTCGCTGTATCCCAATGTCTGAGGTTCCTCCAATAGTGGAGACAGCGTTGCGCGATCACCGAGGATGACCGGTCCTGGTTTCTGACTCGCTGTGATGTGCTATGCTATGCTAGTCTCCAATCTAGATCTCAATGGGTGAAGCCACATACATACTTGGCCTTCACCACCATGCTGCTCAAACTCACTGCTACAGTGCCATCTCAAATCATGATGAAACGAGACATACCAAGCAACGTCCACATTCCAATCCCCGCAGCGCAGACATCACCAGGAATGTGCTCAGACAGGATTATATAAACACATTCAGCATCCATGCTAGACCAAGTTCACCCTTTCTTCCTATTTCCCATTACTATTGAATACATCCTTCTGATATACCCGAATACTCTATAGCAATGAAGCCACCTACCATTTTGGCCACCCTCTTCACCCTGACCCTAACTGGGCTATCTGTGGCTGATAAAACCTGTACCCCGAGCTTCGATTACTGCTCGGATGTGCTGTTGAATGATAAGGGTGAGGCCTTCTCCAACTATTCCAACTATATGTACTATCAGGTCATATAGTATCTACTTCTCCATCTGGCTAGCTGATGCTAATATGAAACCGGTATAGGCTTCTCTCAATCTGATCTGACAGACGCCCTCCAAGGCACCGGATATGAGAACCAAAACTTGACCAACATTCTCTTCCACTGTACGAATCCGGGCCAGGTTGGCCATGCTAAGCTGTGTGATAACGGGTGTGTGGACCCTCCTCAGGAGGGCAGCCATGGATGTGATGGTTAAATGAGATGGCATGAGAACTTGGCTAGTACTGGGAATGGCGAACAAATAATAGTAACAAATTAATTTCATTATTTTTGTATGGGTTGGAATCAGGTTGAGGTTGAGATTGGATTCACATACAGAAGCACCAGGCAGCCCGGGCCACGCGCGACGCCAGTTGACGGACGCGCCCGCGGGAAGTTCCCTTTGTATTTTCCCATCCTTCAGTTAAGAGGCTGCGGCACTCATTGTAGGTTGCGGGTCTCTGTGACTCTCAGACTATAATATGTGTCATATTTAAATTCAACGTTTTATTATTATCTTCTCGGTATAACAGGCATAAATGCGACCGCTACATCACACAGACTCATTTCCTAAGTAGCCTCCCGAACGCGCAGCCCGCGCCATGAACCTTCCCCCAACTCCCTGTTGCGTCTGCCGCTTAAAAAGGCGGGGATGTGACAGGTCTCAACCTAGTTTGTTCTCTATGCCTCTATCTATTGTAAAGTGGAGCTAATGCCAGCCAGCCTGTGGAGGATGCAAGAAACGAGGACTCGACGAACAATGTTCCTACCGGCCCGAGGATATGCCTCCCGCCACGTACGTCTGCACGTGTATAGTCTGAGGATCTTTGATTCAACTAACATCCTGCAGATCTCATAAAAAAGCCAAAATATCTCATTCAGAGGATGAGAGACGCTCTCTTTCACCTCCGAGGCAGCAGATCCTGACACGGAGTCCTTCCAATGTTGCCTCGCGCTCACAGAGGAAGCGTCGGCGGGATGAGGCCTCTCTTACCCGGCATGATCGAAACCGGCATGACTCGGTGGAAGTATACTCTATCACTTCAGATGACAGCGACCCTCCTAACCCGCCGGGTACCGGGATCAATGCCCACATTTCGCGCCTGACCCGGCTGCAGCAGGCCGTAGATGCAAGAACAGGCCGCGTCAAGACTGAAGCTCCAATCGAAGATGGCATATTCTCGCTGCAAGATACAGGGCCAGACTGCGTTCCTCACTCCACCATTGCCGAATCTCCAGCCCAACTGCCCTCAGATCTGATGGACAGCCTGATCGCCACCTACCTGGCCCGCGACTACGTGAGCTGGCCTATCTTCGACCTGTCAGACTTTCAGTCGGCCTGTGAAAAGGTCCGCGACGTGCAAGACCTCACCGCTGGGTCGAGTGGCTTTCACGCCATACTCATGATGATATTGTGTCTCTCCGGTCTGAGATACCGCCAAGTAGATGAAGCCTATCTGCAGTCCCTCTTCAACCACGCCCAGAGAATGACAAACAGCCCAGAGTGGCAGAGCACCCCATGGGTGCGCGTGCAATGCCTCTTTCTACAATGCCAGTACCTCAACGCAACAGGAAAATCCAAACAAGCTTGGGCACTGATCGGTTACACCATCCGCACCATGCAAGCCCTAGGATTCCAGTCCCAAACAACCGCCCGCAACGGCCGAGAAAGACAGCAGCGCGAACTCGGCCGCAGGCTCTGGCACAGCGCAATCATCCTAGAGCGAATGCTAGCACTACAGCTAGGCCTACCGCCCCAAGTCAACAACCCCCTCCAGGTGCACCTCCCCACGCACCTAGACACCGACTACATTGACACCGTCTCCGGCGGGACACCCAACTCCAGTGGAGACCGGCCCTCAATCATCGAGTTCTTAATCGCATGCGCCAGACTCTACACCCACGTCGAAGACATCACTGCCTGGGAGTCCGAAGCAAGAGCCCGGCCAGACACCTGCGCCGCGAAGAAACTCCTCGCCCTGGACATCTCCCCGTTTCTTAAAACAGACGCTCTTCTCTACGACTGGCAAACATCTCTACCCTCGTTTCTCCGCACCGATGAGACCTTCGAACTAGCGGACGACCCCATTGTCCGCCGACAACGCCACACCCTGCACGCCCGCTACCTCTATCTCCGACTTCGACTCTACCGACCCCTTTTAGCTCTTGGCCTCGCCCTCTCCGCCAAGTGCCCCTGCCGCTCTAACAAGCACCCTCACATGTCAGAGACTGATCCTTCATCGTCCATCAATTCTCCGATCTTAGTAACTATCGTCCGCGACACCTCCCTCAAATGCGCCGCCATCGCCGCAGACCTCGTTGACTTGATCGAAGAAACCGAGGACGGGCTGCTGGACGGCGGGCCGGACGATACCTGGCGCAGTGCTGGCTCGCCCTACTGGGAGAACGTGGAGTATCTGTATGCCTGTGGGATTGTCATTCTGGCTGCGCGGCTGTGTCCTAGTTCGGGCGTGGCGCCGCTGAAGAGGGCCTGGACGAGGGTTATCTCCTTGTTGACGAAGTATGAAGGGTTCCGGGCTGGGGAGTATACTCGTCTTGCGAGGTTGGGGAGAAGCACGCTTGAGAATTTGGCGAGTGCGTTGCAGCGGGATGTGGGGGATGCGATGGTGATGGGGTTGGACGGGGAGGTGAGGACGAGGTTGGTGGGGAGGACGAGTGGTGGTGCTGTGGATTCGTTTAAGGAAGGGCGTAGACACAGTCAGGGTCACAGTCGGGGTCAGAGCCAGAGTCAACTGGGCAATTTGGGTTGGGTTGAGAGTTTGTTGGTTGATTTGGTGGGAGATGATATGTGATGTAGATGTAGATAGATACCCTTTGTGTTTTGATTGATGGCAATTATGATTAGAAATTCACATATGAACTATTATAGAACATACTACTATATTAATCGGTTTAAGGTTACTTTTATCTACTTTTAGTCATAAAATTCGAGTCACCCCTGCTGCTTGGCAGCCATATCGTTGTGGCCTACTTACTACTATGAGTGTTTTGACAGGCTCTCTCGTACCAACATATTTTAAACACCACGAGATAGTATGTACTAGCTAGGAGTATATATCCAGCCCATTCCTCGCACTAAGCCCCGAACCAAACCCATATTAGCACCGTTTTTAGTAGTTACTTACTATTTCGACCAAGTTTTCCATGAGTTCCTCCTATAATACATTGACTGAGATCAACTTAGTAGATCTCCGTCATTGCGGATGCGGTGACCCTGCCGAGTTTCCTATCGAATACACTGCGACCAAGGGGACCTAGACGAGTGCTGCGGTTCCCACGTACAAATCCGAATATCAAGATAGAACTCATAATACATGCATATTTACAGTATATATATACACAATCCTAGACAGCTGTCTCCAGCTACTGCTTCTTCTCCGCCTCGTCGATCAATGTCTCCATCTCCTGCTCCGTCCACCGATGAAACAGCTTCTTCGGATCCGACAACGACGCGTCACTCTGGACCGACTGGACGTGTAGCACGGGAACATCAAAATCGTAGACATCCTTCCAGGGCTTATTGCTCGGGAGCTGGATATCCAACTCGGTGTAATCGAAGGGACGACGCTTGTGCAGCTTCGTGACGGTGAGTTTGGCGGTGTCGCAGAGGCCGCAATTGGCGCGGGTGAAGAGGGTGACGCGAGCAGCGGCGAGACGGGCGGCGGTGGGAAGCATGTTGCTGTACAATCGGTAATTCCAGATGATAATTGGAAGTCAAAGTTGGAGTAAACCAATTAAGAGTATAGAAGTTGTAGATGGAATCGCGGGGAAGAGCAAGAATGGATTGAATGACTGGAACCTTCGAGCTCTCCCCCCGGCTAAGCCCGTTTGGGCCGAACCTCAGCGGCGGTTCTTCGACCTTCGATGTTTGCGACGATCGATCTTTTCCCCCCCAATAGACTCATATCTCTTCCCCAGGAGATACCGTTGAACCGTCGGCCTCTCTCTTACTCAGCTCTGCTTCCTCTCATTTCAGTCGCTTCCACCCCATTTCCCCCAGCATGGCCTCCAAGTGTGTCCACAAGGGCTGCGGGAAGGAATTCACCGACGCCGACGAGCCCTGCGTCTATCATCCTGGCCCGCCGGTGTTCCACGAAGGACAGAAAGGTATTTAACAGATGACTCCAAGGGGGGACCTTGGGAGTAGCTTAGTTGATCCACCGGCTATCCGATCTTCTTCCTGACCCAGTTCCTCTCATCTATCTACTTCACATGATCGCATTAACATACTAACTGAATCACCCCGCAGGCTGGAAATGCTGCAAACCCCGCGTCCTCACCTTTGACGAATTCCTCGCCATCCCTCCCTGCACCACAGGCAAACACTCCACTGTCGACGACACCCCCGTCGAACCTCCCAAACCCGCTGCTGAAGTACCATCCCCGGCCGCTACTCCCGTCCCCAGCGCCGCCGCCGCCGCCGCTCCTCCCCGCCCCGTCAACTCCCCCGCTATCCCTCCTCCCTCGAACGCACCCACCCCCGTGCCTGAAGAACCCGAGTCCGATGACCCGGATCTAGCCATCCCCGCGAACGCGACCTGCCGTCGTCGCGGCTGTAACGCAGGCTACGATGCGAACGTCTCGCGAGACGAGGAGAAGTGCGTGTACCACCCGGGCCAGCCGATCTTCCACGAGGGAAGCAAGGGTTGGTCATGCTGCAAGAAGCGGGTGCTGGAGTTTGATGAGTTCTTGAAGATCCAGGGCTGTTCGGAGAAGAAGAAGCATCTGTTTGTGGGGAAGGGGAAGCCGGCGGGTGAGGAGAAGGTCGAGTCTGTGAGGTGAGTGACCCCTCCTTTCTCTCTTCGGTTGTTGGTAATTGCTACGGAGTGGAAGTATACTAATTTATGATGGATGATGTACAGGAACGACTTCTACCAAACCGCCTCCTCCGTGAACGTCTCGCTCTACCTGAAGAAGATCAACAAAGACACCGCCAAGGTCGAGTTCAAGACCACGTCGATCGAGCTGGACCTCCCTACGACGGATAACAAGCGCTACACGGATTCATATGAGTTGTTTGCGCCCATTGATCCCGAGCAGTCCAAGTTCCGTGTGCTGGGCACCAAGTTGGAGCTGACGCTGGTCAAGGCTGACGGGACGAGCTGGCCGGTGTTGCGTCGCGATGATAAGTGGTCGGGAGAGAGAATCCAGATTGGAAATGCTGGACGGGTGTAGTAGCAGCTGCCTTTTAGATATATACGTTTATAATGGTGAGGGAGGGGTGGAGTATAGTATGAGATATGGAATAAAAGTGATGACCGCATTGAGAAAAGTGCCTTTCTTATCTTATCCGGAAGAACTGAATGAAATCAGCCTTAATCAGCAGGTAGACATGTGCCCGATATAGTAAGGTGCACTGACAGTGTCACTCATACTTGGTGCAATCCAAGGGCAATATTATGAACCCAGTTGACGAGACAGACTGCGTAGTAGTACCGCAACTCCAGCATAGACAATAATCCTGCGCCATATGCGCATGCCATATGCTATGCTACTTGAGAAGTCCATACCAGAACCACAAGCCCTTAAGCTAGGTAGAGCCACGTGACATTCGGATTCCCAAGAACCCAACTTCACCGCTGTCACATATACACCCCAATATCACTTTCCGATAAAGGAATATATATAATGTACAGAAAGACAAAGCCAGCACCCATCTACGAAAATTCTATATAATCCTCTTTCAAACCCCATTCAACATCAAGAACCAAGTTTGAAGAAAGAAATGTAATGTACCGCCTCCTCCACAGCTCAAGCGCATGGGGATTTTATCCTTTCGAACAAAAAACCCTAGCCAAGCCATGAATTGTAAGGGAAAAAGGAAGACGAAAACTGCTCTGCAAGGCTGGGAACGGAGGAGAAACCCATAGAGAAAAAATCCCACACAAGATAACCCTCAGCGAGCCGTACGGTGACGGAGCCCCGGTAAGATTTACTAAATTACTTGAAGGTAAAAGTAAACCGCTACTGATGATGAAGAAGGAAAGAAAAAGAAAAGGAGGGCGAAGGGGGGGGGCCGGCGGATAGGGGGGGGTTTATGTAGGGGTTGCAGGGTGGGGACGCTAGGGGCTAGTGGGTGACGAGGTGGGAGGGGGTAGGGTTAGGTTTGGTGGTGGTCACGTGGTTGATGGATTATTGTTGAGGGAAGGGGAGAGGGAGGAAATCACATGTGATTGAGTTTGGATTGGGATCGGTGAGGGAGGTGGGGTGGAGGTGTGCTGTGTATTTTATGTTGTATTGATGATGGTATTGGGTTGTTTGGTACGGGGTATTTGATGGTGGATGTATATCGATGTTTACTTTGTTGTGTGTATGGCTTGTAGTATATGATTTATGACGGTAGGTCGTTCCTTGCAGAGGATACAATGGATTAGCTATCAATGAGATGTTTTGAATGAGGTCCGAAGCCAGATTATTGAGGCTATCGTGCAATATACAGAGTATAGAGATATGTTTGCTTGGATGATATAGTCAACAATGTAGGAGATATGTGGGAACGTAGGCATACTTAACTGGCTGGCTAGTAGCTACTACTCTATTGTATCCTTATAATCACCTCTTTATAGTTATAGCTAAGGTCCTGCTACCCATTTCTCTACTAGTATGTAGTAATCGACCGCAATCTTATCTACTATGTATGATGCGTATTGTACTGTATCCATCAATACGCTGCTATCATACGCTCAACAACACCCCTGACCCCTGATGCCGCCGGCCAAACAGCCAGTATCGCCATGAGCGATACTGATGGCCTGCTCAATATCAGCCCTCTAAGCTTCCTCACGAGTCTTCATGCCTTATTCAGCGGAGGGGTAACACTGGCGTCATCTCAACGGCTGGCCAGCCAGTTGGTTGGCTGCGGTGCAATACTCAGAAGGCGGAAAAGGAGGGGTTCAGGGCCCGCCGCCGCCTTCCAATCAGTGAGTCGCTGGCACGAGACCAGCGGCGACATCTTCTCCTCCTCCTCTCCTGTTCTCTTCCTCTTCGTCATTTCTCTTGCGCCTGTCTCTGAGAGTATCAATTGCCGGCCAATTTGTACTCGTAATCACCCCTTTTCAGACGGCTCACGGACCACACGGGAAAAGCAAAATCTCCTGTTCTGTCTATCACTTTTTAGTAGGTACGTGGGTACCCTTGTTCTACATTTGTGCTTTAATTCAAGGCTATGCCTTATCATGCCAATAACTAGCAAATCGCTTGAATCGTGTGGCTGACTTTGCGTGGAAGAGTTCTAGAACGGCTAGACCCTGGTCGACTGTCGCGTATTGTTCGATCACCGCCATTTTTTTCTTTCCCTCCTTTCAACCCCTTGGATTCTCCCACAACCGCCATAATGCATGCAGAAGACCGCAGGCCCTTTCGTCACATTCCCCTATCATACAATCATGCCGACTCTCATGCCTCCGCGCTGAGGCTCATCTTGACACTCAACCCGCACTGGGAGGGACCGGACAACAAGATCGAGTTTGTCCGGTTCACGGATGGCATCACCAATACTGTGTGTTCCTCGCAATGTTCTCTTCGCCGGTGCTCGCTGTAAGAGGCAACACCGCCATTCTATGGGACTAACGTGGCTTCAGCTTCTTAAAATCATCAATCGCAAGCCCGGCTTGACCGAGGAGCAGATAGACCAAGAAGCAGTACTGATGCGAGCGTACGGTAACCACACAGAAATCCTCATAGACCGCGAAAGTATGCCACCCGGGGTCACTACTTGCCCCTCCTCTCTGCCCATTGCGACACTTGCTGAGTAGATACTTCTACCTATAGGAGAAACGAGATCCCATGCTCTTCTTGCCAGCCATGGATTAGCCCCTCCTCTCCTGGCGCGCTTCAACAATGGCCTCCTGTACCGGTTCCTCCGTGGCCGCCCAGCCAGCGCGGAGGACCTTGCCACGCCTGCCGTCTGGCGTGGTGTGGCCAGGAGACTTGCGCAGTGGCATGCGGTGTTGCCCATCAAGGGAGCTGCCGCACCGCTAATGCCCGCCGAGGACGTGACCCTGATGCAACATGTAGATGAGGCCACGGCACACTGCCAGAAGTTGAAGCACGAGGACATCTCCGTGATCACCCCAAAGCAGCCTGGGCCGAGCATGTGGAGTGTGCTCCAGAAATGGATCCTTGCTCTGCCCACGACCACGGAGGAGCAGCGCCAACGGAGACTTAGTCTGCAAAAAGAGCTGGAGCGGGTTGTCAGCGAGCTAGACGATGAAAAAGGCCTAGGCGATGGTGGAGTACGTAGCACTAGTCCCTGTTATACGGAACGACCATTTAACTTCACACTAGTTGGTTTTCTCTCACTGTGACCTTCTCTGCGCCAACGTCATTGTGTTGCCCGAAAGCGCCTCTTCGGAAGACGAAGCGGCCGTTGTCAACTTCATCGACTACGAATATGCCACCCCCTCACCTGCCGCCTTCGACATTGTCAACCACTTTGCCGAATGGGGCGGTTATGACTGCGACTACAACATGCTGCCCACCCGTTCCGTGCGACGCGAGTTCTTGACCGAATATGTCAAGAGTTACAGCTACCACAAGGGTATCCCGGAGTCATCTCAAGGGGAGATTGTCGACCGACTCTACGAAGACGTCGACCGGTTCCGAGGCATTCCCGGACTCTACTGGTATTGTCCCTTACGTGTTTTTCATATACTACATGCTAATCTAAACAGGGGCGTGTGGTCACTCATCCAAGCCCAAATCTCACAGATCGACTTCGATTACGCCTCCTACGCCGAGGTCCGTCTCGGCGAATACTACGCATGGCGCCGGGAGGTAGACGGGTCGCGGACCCAGGCAGGTGAAGAGATGCCTCTCCGGGAGCGACGATGGGCTCAAGAAGCTTAATCGAAGTGACCGTATATAACCGCCTCCCCGACTCTCCGTATACCTCCCTCGAAATCTGTTTGAGATAGCAAGCGATGATCGTTCCAGCGATAGCATAAGCGATTTAGAGTCTGGCCGTCTGTCAGAGTTTAACAAAATTTTGTTGATGGGGTGCGGTATCCCCTAGGGACGGGATACAGGATGCACGAATATTTATATTCAACATATTCTTTCCACCATGACTGTGGAATTGCTGTTGGGATAGACATGACTATACCGCGGCTTTTGTCCCTTTTTTCTGTCTATAGTTACGAATGTTTGATAGATAATATAATCATTTTGCCATTACACAGAGAAACATACGTCATTGCTTCAAGGGGATATACTACCAACCAGTTTTCTGCCACAGATACAGGCTTGGCTTTCTAAGGATCAACAACCTCCAAAGACACTTGATAGAATCAGATGGTCTGTAGCAATCCACCCATTTGGGCACGGACCCAATTATAGAAATGGGTGGGTCACGGGCGCTAACGTTCGTGACAGCTGAACCGAGTAGCGACAGCATCTGTACGATGTGCTACTCACCAGAGGGACATGACGTCTAGTCTCTGCGTTATTTTGAGGGCGTTGCGACTCTCACTGGAGGGTTGAGAAAGCACTGTTGAAGTTGAAGCTAAGATAATCATATGGAACACCGTTGGTTACCCATTGTCGTGTGCACCGCCACTGTCCCCTACATATGGTCGACCACACATCCTCTTCGCCTAGCGGCTAGATTCTATTGACCCTAGGAATGTCTAATAATATTCGATAGAAGATCCCTGTTGGTGTACCTTTCCATTAGGCATCCATGGTTCGGCTCCGACGATGCCTGTAAGGTTTAAGCCACTGCAATGTGGCTCAGACATGCTAGTTCGGATCAACTCTCTACCCTTGAAATCACTCATTCTGATCTATTTCTGAACAACATAGCATAACCATCTCAATCTATCGGATTCTCATCGAGAATCACCTCAAAATAAACCTTTCTCGCCAGCATCACAACTCTCCAACGCCCACCCGCAAACATACTAGTATAGACCCTGACTGACCCTGCGGCTACACTAACACGTTTATTCGATAGCCCCCCCTCTTCTTAGTACCCTAAAGCACCTGCATCATTCCCCGAAAGAAAAGCCCCCATATCAATGATGGCGCAGCAATACACTCCTCAAAGTACTAGTGCTTAATACTACTAGTATGCACCTTCCCGGTACTCATGATTGGTGCCTGTCACACGGGCGCTAATCTGCATAACCCTCACACCCTCTCAAACATTCAGCTCGAAGGGCGCTTGTGATGGATCGTCGCGCGCCGCCCTCGTGTGTCACGGGCGAGGCAGTCAGCTGCGATGCACCAATCCCAACCCCTCTACTAGTTTCTAGCTCTCGTTCCCCCCCGCGGCAACTGACTATGCTCTCGCCTCAGCCCTTCGAATGATTTCGATCATCATGCACCTGCTGGGCTGGGCTGACTGACTTACTGGGCTAGACTATAGTTAACCTACAGGGTTGGAGGTTAGGTTAGCTATGCGCCCGTTTTAGTTATTTAGAGGCGCCGACAGCCTTGTCTTTCGTCTTTTACTTTTCAGTTCTCTTGAGTTGCGTGCATTGAGTTTCTGGGCATTTTTATCTTCCGCTACCACTTATTATAATCATCTCTACTGCCATCTAGTTAACAAGCACAGCTACTTCCTAACTACTACTAAGCATGTCCGAGCTCGCCCGCTCAACCACCTTCCAAACACCTCAGGAATACTACGCCGGCTTTAAATTCAGACCGAATCTGCAAAACGCGTTCTGCGATATCGATGATGAAACTAACCTCAAGGCTTACTTAAAGCTCTTGAAGGATTCTCAGACGCGTAACTTCGTGCTCGACTTTGGGAATGATGATGCTTGGTGTGCGGTGAATCTGGGGCAGGAGGATATTGCGGCGATGTTGAGGAAACCTGTATGTGCTGTTTCTCTTGGGAAGACGGAGAGGGAGGGGCGTGCTGACGATGAGGGCTTAGAAACCAAAGTGTTTTGGTACGAGGTGGATGTACGTTGTGCTTTCTAGTATTGCCCCTCTGTTATTAGGATTGGTTGCTGACTTGTCTATCTAGTAATATCTGGGCTCCGGAGCAACAGAAGGATTTGATCAAGACCCTTACGAATCACTATGGTGTTTCGGAGCGGCTGCAGGCGTTGATGTGTACGGATCCGGTGGAACGTCCCTCGAAGCCTCCTGTGTCTTCTGAGCCACAGAGGAATAATCTTCGCTCGAATAATACCGATCTCTCTCGTCGGTCCCGTCCAGATGATGTGGAGGGAAACGCCTTGCAGAACCTGAGACATCCTGAAGAGATTGCGGCATTAGCGGCGTTCAGAGGTATTACCTTCGGCAATGTTATTGATCAGATTTGGCACTTTTGCTCGGTGGACTATGGGTTGAAGTGTATGCTTATATCTTTGGTTTCATTGAAGCGGTACTAACGCGGATTTAGATACTTGTATTGGGTACAATTCGCTATTTGTTATTCCTCAAACAGACCAACATAATGGGAGAGAGTTGCCGGATGGAAAGCGACTATGGACCTGGTTGATCTTATGTAATGATGGTAAGTTTGCTATTGGAGACGCGAGGATGTTGTGCTGACTGGTCAAGGGACGGTCATTTGCATGCAGGAGAATCCATTCCCTGGTTTGTCTGGGCCATCGGAGAAGGAGCTGCAAGCTGTGCTCGGTGTAGTCCGCAGGAACATCCAGCTCATCTTTGCGGGGGTCTCAAAACAGCACTTTGCTTCGTCTGAAAGTGACTCGTTGGTTACTATTCGAGTAAGACCGTTCTTCGAGGGTGGCCCAGATCAGGTGAGCATCAAGCAAGAAGATGGGCCGAGCTTGTTGTTTTATTATATATTCGATGACTGGGTTTCATCGTATGCTCTCGTTGCACAACGCGAACATAAATACGGGATATCCCTCAACAGACTTGTAAGTCCATGGTGATGGCTCTTTACCTTCTCACACGCATACATTAACACTGTTCAGAGGCAAGACATGTTATCGAGACCGGAGGTTGACCTGGTCCATGAATTACATCGGCTGGGTAGACAGTTGGCCGTCTTGAGACGTCTCTATCAAAGTTATGAGCTTATCATGATGCGTATACTGCAAAGACAGCGTCTGCTGCGTGACGAGGCCCGGTCAAATCGACTTCCAATGGCAATGGGACAAAGCTTTGCGGAAAACGAAGTTGGGGATACTCGCCACTCGACGAGGGAAAGTTTCAGCTTTTCAACTCTAGATGCCGATGTAGGTGTCCAGCTTAGTCCGCCTGCTGTAGCTCGATTCGAACGACTGCTCGATCGCATCAAGCTATATTGTCTATCGGAGATTGAGAGCTGTCTGACAGAGAAGGAAAACCTCACATTCCTTGTAGGTTTGTCCATCCCGAAACAGAAGGAATATACTGACCGTTTGATAGAACTTCAACTTAATCGCCCTCAAGGATTCCCAAGCCGTTGAGAAACTGACGCGAATCACGATTCTACTCGCAAAAGTGACCATTCTGTTTTTACCAGTCAGTCTAATGACTGGTTACTTCTCCACCGAGCTTCGCAACGTCAAGGGCGAATATACGATCAATCAATACTGGGTCAGCTTTGCCGTGATCTTGTTCCTGTCGATGGTCCTGCTCTGGATTTTTGGATATGCCAGCGACACTGTGGAAGGCAAGACGATCTACCAATCGTTGTCCCGAAGCTTCTTCCGCATGTCGAGAGACCGGGTGTCTCACCGTAGAAACGAAACATCGGGCGGCGCAAGCCATCGATCTTGACGCGTCGAGTTCTGCGTTGCGATAAAAGATACCCAGCCTTCAGAATATATAGAGCATCTTGTACATGGCACAGCCCTGCACACGAATGAACATTACGACTCACAAGCACTATACAAGCGAATCCGATGCTATAGATCTAGATACGAGACCAGTCACATGTCTACTCCACTGCTACTTTATTCCGCAGTGCACGTTTCGAATGGCTCATGACAAGCCACTGCTATGTGATCTGTTTGGCCGGACGATGTTACCTATCGGGTGCATTCGCCCCAACCAAATCAGGGTCCATCGAGACCCTACCACATGCTCTCGCAATTATTCTCCTGAGGCCCACACCAGTAGCACGAGCCATGACGGCATGGCCTCGAACAATGATGGAAATCCGATACGGGGAATTGCAAATGCCACGCCTCCAGGAGTCACGGGGATGATGCGGCAGTGGCCCGTCGCTATGAGGATCGCTTGCTTATCTGGCACGAGGGATGAATAATAGCATGACGCGTAGTGAGCTGAAAGTGGCCCCTGTGGGTTCCGAGGGCTTGCACGAACCCAAGTGTTTAACGCAACGGCGTACTTTATGCGCGTGAGACGATTCGTCAATCTAATCAGGAGAGTGATTAGTGCGATGGCCACCAAATTACGGAATTTACCCTGAAATCATCCTCATCAATTTCCCAATGTTCCAGGGACAATTGAACGACAGGCATGAGCACAAGACATCCATCGATACCCTTCTTGACTTGCACCCCATAGTAGTGCCACCGAAGGCGATCCACTGGGACGGGGTACCCAGAAAGCCTTGTTCGAGAACCTATCAGGTGTCCGAGTGGGCACCGATCCGGGTGTCTGGACCTTTCCTCGGGACCAAGAGGGGCCCAGGGGGGCAAAGGAGGGAGACAGATAGATACTAGGCAAGAGAGTATGCTGGGCAAAGCAAAGAGGCTGTGAACGGGTAGCAGCATTAGACCGTTGTGGGCGACATGAGGATAGGCAACGATGAAGCCCGTTCCATTTGGCGTAAAAACGGTACGGACTTGTTTTCGTGGGTAAGCCGATCTCGAGGCAGTAACAGGGATGCTGCTGAATTGGTATCAACCGGGAATCCATTGACGGGAAACACCGTGTCCTCTTCTTTTCCTTTCGGGAGCCGCAGTCTTGAGCAAGAGGACACCATGAGAGCCTCGTTTAGACGGTCTGTGTCTGCTGGATGGTATTAACTATTAGTTGTAAACTCTATTACCATCCTAGATTCAATCTATATACACTGTCTGTCTTCAATTGCAAGCATTGTGCCTGTATGTTGCGTAAAAAGACATCCTGGTAACTGAGAATATAATACATAGTTTGGTATTTTTGACCAGCTGGTTTCGTTAGTGACGGAAGCTACGCCGAGCGGCTGAATTTCTCGACCCAAAAATCCCACCACCTCGTCAAAAAAACCGTCTTTCTGGCGTACGGCAAGGGAAAAAAGACCTGAACCTGACCGACCTGACTGAAACTAACAGAACTGACGGACTCTGACTGAGACTGACTGACTGACTGATCACTCACTATCTCCAGCTTGTCTCTAACTGTCTTGTGTCGTATCCACGCCTTCCAACTCTCCCTCTTTCTCCCTCCCTCTCTCCTTCTCCAGCTTCAACCGCAACCTGGTAAGTCTTGCTATATTCCCCTTCCTCCCTCCCTCTCCCTCTACCATTCCCCTCTCTCCCCACGGCTGGTTCCTCTCCATTTTTTGTCACCCGATCACACACCTCTATTCCCTTCCTCTCCTTTCCTTAACGGCCACCGCTTTCTCCCCCTGATTTGTCCTGCCCGCCGTGTTTCCCCGGCGTGACTACCTTAACCTGATTACCTTCGCCCCTCGTCCACCACTCCAAATTCCATCCGTCATACCACTTGCCCTTTTACCCTTATACTATACCTTCCCCCTCCTCTGCCCGACGTCACTAGGTCTGTGTTCTATCGCTTGACCCTCTCACTCTCTCACTCTCTCACTCTTCTCCCTCTCTCCCCGACCGTGCGGTGTGGATCTCGCACACCCTGGACTCTCTTGGTCAGATTGATTCTAACATCGCATTCTTATCCCTAGACCTTTGAATCTCACGCAACCGTCGTCATGGGTCTCACTTTCTCCAAGTTGTTCGACCGGCTATGGGGCCGCAAGGAGATGCGTATTCTGATGGTCGGTCTCGATGCCGCCGGTAAAACCACCATCCTGTATAAGCTCAAGCTGGGTGAAATCGTCACCACCATCCCCACGATTGGTCAGTCCACCTCTTTCTCCTCTTTTCTCGGCCCAGACAAAGCAGAACTTGGCATCGATCAGTAGTTGGGCTTGGCTCAGCGCCGAACGAAACGATACTGTGCTTGGACATACAATTCATTCCACGATGGAAACACAACAAGACTGACTAGTGTTGTTTTGTGCCGTGCAGGTTTCAACGTCGAGACCGTCGAATACAAGAACATTCAGTTCACCGTCTGGGACGTCGGTGGTCAGGACAAGATCCGTCCTCTCTGGAGACACTACTTCCAGAACACTCAGGGTATCATTTTCGTTGTCGACAGCAATGACCGTGACCGTATCGTCGAGGCCCGTGAGGAGTTGCAGCGCATGTTGAACGAGGATGAACTCCGTGATGCCCTTCTCCTGGTGTTCGCCAACAAGCAAGATTTGCCGGTATGCTTGAAATCTATCCTCATTGCAACAAGGTGGAGGCCGAAACAATGGATATTAACTTTTGATTTTCTTTCCTTTTAGAACGCCATGAGCCCTGCCGAGATCACTCAGCAGCTTGGTCTGCAGAGCCTCACCCGCCGCCCCTGGGTAAGTTATATGCCCCTCGCATGTCGACACCTAAGGTGTCGATTCCTGAGTATCCACCCAACTAACGCGCTTGCTTCCCTTTTCTAGTACATCCAATCCACCTGCGCCACGACTGGTGACGGTCTGTACGAGGGTCTGGAGTGGCTTGCTGAGACGCTGCGGAAAACGAACCGCGACTAAACTGATCATCTAATGAGTGGAAGAATACCTGGAAGTTTGTGAACCTGGGAGTTGCGGATGCTGGATGGGGAACCGGGGCCGGCAAAGTCACCTCGTGTAGGGGAAAGGGATTATGCTTGCTAAACTTGGTGGTTCTTGTATGTTCTCTAACGGCTCTTCATTCCTCTATGCTATTAGCTTTTACTTTTTTTTTATCATTTCTTTTGTCACCCTGGCGCCGCCCGATTCTTTTTTTACGACTTCTTCTCTGCCTTTGTGCTTCTCAACCGCATGCCGTTTCCTTCCTTCCCTTTCTCGACTCGACTCGACTCGACCTCGTGCTCGGAGCAGAATAAGGGAGGGAACGGGAACAAGGGACAAAAAGGAAAAAGGAAAGGCAGTATATCCATGGACTGGGCTGTGATGCATTTGGCCCCGAGAATGAGAATGAGAATGTAGAACGAGTGCATGTAGTGGCCGGTTTTTTTTTATTCTACTTTTAGTGAGTTGTGATAACATTTCATAAATATAACATGACTATGACTATGACTATCGCTAGTATTCTCGAGTGCAATCTATCCATCTTTCAGGTTCCTCCGTTTTCCCCATGTGTCGATACCTTGAACGAACGTCCCATTACCACATCCCACATCCCCAAAGCCAATTATCCAATACTATCTTGTTTGCTCTACTACTATATATGTGAACTGATATACTATACTACCATGTATATACAGTGTATATATATCACCTACATCCCTCGACAACTTGACGACGAACAGGTGCTCCCTCCCACTTCTGCGTCTTCTGCTGCACCAGTTCCTCCCCGCTCACCCACCACGCCGCAGCACGAATAATCTTCAAGACACATTCCAACTCCTTTTGATCCCTCGGCGCATAGATCATGACGAACCCCGTCGGCACGGTCCGCAAATAACACCACCACCAGCTCTCCCGCGTTAATGGATGTCGCTGGCCCCAGCCCCGCTCAATCACTGCTTTCACGTCCGCCGGATGCAGCGTCAAATGCAGACTCCCGTCGCTGGGGTGCGCGTGACATACTTCCCCGTTGCAGGTGCGGCGGTGACGCCATTGTTGGTTGCGGGACATCATTAATGAGGAGATGTCGCGGTCTTTGAGCGTGCCGCCTGCGCTTTGTTGCTGGGGTGTGTCGGTGCTGGAGCAGAACATGCCCGTGCTGTGTTTTTCGAAGCATGAGGTTCCTTCGTAGAGGGCTTCTGGGTTTTGGGATACTAATTTTTGGATCTCGGTCGAGAGGGTCTCGTACATGGCTGGATTGGCTTTTTGGGTCATTTGGCGCTGGGGAGCGATTCCGGCGACGGTGGGGCGTGGGCCATGGCGTTGCGGGAGGTTGTTGGAGTTTAGGAGGCCGGTCTTGGGGAGGAGGGTCAGTGGGAGGGAGGGTGGTTGGAAGGGGTCCCGGATTGTGAAGAGTCGGAGGAGGCAGATGCGGAGGTAGCCTGTTGGGGTGGAGGGAGTGCCGCCGGGGCCGAGGGCGAGGAAGGCTTGGTAGTCTTTGTGGATACGGTGGAGGAGGAAGATGGTTGGTACGAGGAGGATTGGTAGGAGGAGGAATATGCTGTCCAGGGGTGGACTGTAGGTGTGGTTGGTTGTCGGGTGTTCCTGTTTGGTGTTAATGGAGGTTTGCTGGGTGGTAACGAGGAGGTACGGACCATTGTCGTCACTTCGTTATTCACCCTGCCTTATGTAGTGAAGACTGGCGCTGCTTGGCTGGGAGGAAGGGTATGGATGAGTGGTATAGATTCTATCTCAATTGACTTCGAGTCGGGAGAGCTGCATACCTCCGGGAGTATGTGATTCATTCTCTAGTTTTATAGTTAGTCATCGGCATCAAGACCGCAGGTGCCACGATACAGGACTGACCCAGTTGGTATTGAATGGCCGGGGAAGCAAACAGTGCTATCCGTCGGGGCATCGAGACCTCCTGATCAAGAACCTGAACCTGCTGGATGCAGCGTGCATGGACAGGTGGGCCAATCATCACCGTTGCATCACACACCGCAAGTACCGCGAGGCGAAAGCTGTCTAGGCGACAAAGAAGGTTGATCTCCGTTTATAGGGGAACAGCAACTCTCAGTGTCGTAATTCAGTGTGCGATAGAAAAAAGGTGTGGCCATCATGAGATCTTGGAAACACGAGACGGATCGTCGTCACTGTGATGTATGACGACAGCCATTCCAATGGGAGTGGTCTCGGGAACTAAAAGCAAAGCAAATATTAACTAGACTAGCGAGTTAGTTTCCGCAGCATCTATTCGGTCAGCAACGGCATGCCGACCCAGTCAGCGGGTGACTTTTCCTATCCCTTCTGAGAGCTCTCTCACGAGGCGGTGCTCCCAATCCGGCACATTCTTGCACAATGGGTTCAGGTCTGGTCTTTGTTAGGCTTTCGTGGCTGGCGGTGGAATGTGAGTTGGTGTCTGGGCGTGTGGAGAGAAAGCTGGGGTAACTGTGGGCCCGTGGGTAGGGTCACGCTGGACTCGATGCTTGCTTTTCTTTCTCATGGAAGAGGCTCGGATCGATTCTGTTGGAAGTTTACGACTGTGTTGTCAGTTATATTGGGTCAATTGACAACTGAAGAGTGATCTTACCGCTGTTGCCGAGGATTTGTAGGAGATGGTCATGCCTAGAAGTCGAGTATAGTCTAGGTGAGGCGGCCAGCGTCGGATCAAGAAGATAGTGCAGATGCGCCTTGCAGATCAATGGCAAAGGCACGAGGGAGAATGTTCCTTGTGTGTGTGTGTTCTGCCTGGTTGTTGTACTTCCTGTTGTTCTTGTCTTTCAGTTCTGGTGGTTGCTTCTTTTGGCCTGATCAGTCACACTGATACCTCAGGCGACAACATGCTCATACTGGGACTAGTTCATGATCGTGAATGCCTCTAACCGCATGTGGACAGCACAAGACATTCCATCCCAAAAGGGACTTTCTTTGTATTTCCGGATCATTTGAAGGCAACTACTTCAATATGGCTAATCTTGAGAGTGCATATACACTGTCAACAGCATCATCAATCCCATCTCTCTCAGCCATTCATGGCACCTTACCGACTCAAGACAGCCTCAATGTCTTGCGCCAAGCCCTCCTGCCGGGCTAGTGCATCAGCACGGCCGTCCCTTGGGCAACGCTTCCTGGCCGATCTACCAAACAGCTCGCTATGTCGTTACCTGTCGGTAGCTCACTGTTTTGTTGATATCGAGATTGATACGGGGTTGTTCTCGCCATCGTCACCTGTTAACTTGCTTGAGATCCACTGGCCTTGATCCGTGGTCACTCTGGGGTTTCTGTGGCTGGTACTGGTTTGTTTGTATTCACTGCTATTATAGTAGTGGTATACCACTCTAACTAGCAGTCCGTTGCAGACGTGCGCAACAGTCGCACGCCCATTCTCGGGCCCAGTCACGCTGAGTCTTCACTCACCGCAGCAATTGAGCGCCGATTCAGAAACAAAGTCGACTGCCGAGCATTCTTTTTTTCCGAACTTGATGCCGTTCTATTGATCGCCTGATCCACTCGCATACCTCTGACGTCGCCGCCAATACATACTTTCTATGCGAACATAGATCCCCGCCATGCCTGCCCGTTCGAAGAGGTATCAGGTCAATGCATCGTCGCCCTATTCGAGCGACAGTCGCGATGTCGTCGACATTGAGAAGCAACCATCGAGGCCGAGGCGCCACTACCGTCGCGATAGCTACAGCTCGTATGATTCAGACATTGAAGATGACTCGGAAAGCTCTTCCTCGGTGGCTTCGTATCGCCCCATGCTGAACAGAGCGCCCGTGGCGCCCGTGCGACGTTCTCGCAGCAGGCCGGGCTATCGCATACCTAATCGGATCATGAGATGGCTTTGTCTCGCGCTACTGGCCTTCTTGGTTCTGTTTATCTGCACCTTGTTTCGCTTTACCTTCCTTTCAGCTGTCACTCGCGTCAATGTTCCATTGCCGAAGCCTGCTGCAAAACCGGCACAGTGGGAGAGTTTCCCTTTATTAAAACGCTACCATGGCGGCATCCGGTCCTTGGTATCGCGAAGCGAACAGGTGCCAGAGTATCCCAACGATAATCCGGACATCTTGGGCGTTGAAAGCGCGGAAGATGCAAATGATACCATCATTCAAGCCCGGGACCAGACATTGCCATTGTCGAGCTCTATCTTCAATCCTTATCCCGACTACTCGTCTACGGAATATGTCGAAAAGTACGGTGAGAAGCGTGATTGCTTCCTTGATGAGGAGGAGAACCTACGGATCCCTCTGGTACAACACTATCCCGGTGTGCCTCGTGGGTTTCCAGATGCAATCCTGGGCTCCAACGAGATGATCGGTATTCAAGACGACGTTTGCTTTGACCGTTTTGGTCGTCTCGGTCCTTACGGTCTAGGCTACAGTGTGCGAAAGGGTGGTATCGGCGCAGGCCTCGAAGGCGATCGTGAAGGTGCGGAGCGTGTCTGGAACGACGTTCCGCCAGTTGACTTTCGTCGTGTCGACTGGGCAGCTGCGCAGAATCGATGCTTGGCTTCGAACAGCCACCGATTCCGCGATCTTCCTGCTTCACAATCCGACCGCTTCCGTACTATGACCGTGGGTGCACCAGACGCCAAGCAAGCAACCCAGGACGAGGCACGGTCTGATGGAAAGTCCTATCTACCCCGGACCGCATTCGTGATCCGCACGTGGCATGATTTCCACTACACCCCGGATGACATCCTGTATCTACGATCCCTCATTTCCGAGCTATCACTGCTCTCCGGCGGCGAATACACCATTCATTTCCTGGTCCAGGTCCGGGACGAAACCCTCCAAATCTGGGCTGACGACGAGGTCTACGAGCGCGTGCTAAACGAGGCTCTGCCAGCCGAATTCCGCGGCATGGCTACTCTCTGGTCCGAGCGGCAAATGAATCTCATGTATCCCGGTCTAGAAGAGACCTGGGCCCGCGGGCTATCCGTGCACGGCGTATACCGCAGCACCTACATGCCCATG